AAGCTCATAAGGCTGTGGAAACAGGTCAAAAAGAACTTGGAGATGAAGATCAACAAATGCACAGAGATCCCAAGACCCACAGACTCCTGGTCCGAGCCCACTGAAGACTGCTAGTTCCTTATTGACCTGATCTGGCCTTGCCCTTTCTCTGACACCAACCCAGGACGTAGGGACCCCTCATTCCCAGCCAGTGTCTAGGGGCCTGGGTCACACTCACGGCCAGTACGTCCACTTCAGAAAGGCCTTTCCCTAAACAGTTCAAAGCTAGTCTTCTCAAGTCTTAGATGGAGTTCTGGTGTAGCGCCGTTGGATAAGCACTCAACCTCAAGGTTGGTTTGAACTGCAAGGTTAGCATTGAAACTCACCAGTTGCTCCTCAGAAACCCTATACAGGATTGCTATGAATTGGAAACAAGTTGAAAGCACTGAATAACTGTACTGTCAGGCCCAGGAAACTGACGTCTAACAAGCTCTCAGGTGACGCTGATGCTGCCACTCTGAAGCAGCCCTGAGTGTAGAAAGAAGGAAATTGGCAGACGGAGGAACCACATGTCACTCACAGGGGAGCCTCAGGACTTAGCACAGCGCCTGGCACAGTTAATGGTTAGGTGCCACGGAGTCCCTGTCAGCTCCTGGCGATCCCACATGTGTCAGAGTAGAAATGTACTCTGTAAGGTTTTCAATGAAGTAGATCACCAAGCTTTTCCAGCGCATCTCTGGGAGGGCTCAAACCTTCAAATGTTCATGCCCCCCAGGGACCTTGGCATACACTGTTGAGTCCATTTAGACTCCTGGAAGCCCCATGCATGCAGAGCAGTCCTGTGCTCCACCAGGGTTGCCAGGCCTGTCTTCTGTGGCACTTCTGTGTGGGACTCAACCTCTGTTGTCAGTCTGTTAATTACTGTGCCAATCCAGGGGTCCTGGCACACAGTCCCCAATAAGTATCTACAGACTGTATGGCTCATGGCTGTCGTTTCCAGGAGCAATCTTACTACTTTGCTTATAAATACTTGCTGCAGACATTCATACACACATTCATTTCAAACAACAATTTCATACATGCCAGGTACTCCAGCCTCTGAACTTAGGGGGCTTATACTTAAAGGAAATGGATCCCTATTTAGGCACTGGTAGCACACACTTTCTGGAACACAACTGGACAGCTAGACCTTTGCATACTTCTACTGAAGTGGAAGCAAGCAAGTCACCTATCCAAACTAACCTAAAGAAAAACCCATTAGGTTAAATGGGTCAACTGATTTCATAATACTCCTTCAAAACATTTTTTTCTTTTTAAAATCAAAACAAGAATTTGCTTGGAGGGAACAGAATTATCTATATTCACACTGGAACTCTAAAAGATGGCTTCCTTCCAGGTTCTCCCAATTGCTGGAAGCCAGTGGCAGGTGAAAGAGCCTAGAAGGCATTCTGTTTTCTTCTCCAAGTCCTCTTGCATTCACTAAGCCTTGCTCAGAAGGGACTTTGGTAGCCATTTCTCAAATCCTCTGGCTGACTTGCAAGTTACCATAGTCACATTCATTCTGAGAAACAGGTGCTTCTGTTAAAATTAGCTGTTTCAAACTGCCAAATATTTTAGATGTATGCCAACTTTTTTTTTTTTTAAAAAAAAGCTTTTAAAAATAACCAATGGATGCAGCAGATGCTTCCAGAATTATAAAACACTTTAGATAATTTTTAAAAAACATGACTCTAAATTAAAGATTAAAAAAAAAACCCTGGTATAAGGGTTGTAGTATGTATATATGAAATTATTTTTTCCATTTCCGAAAAGTCTAATATCAACCCAAAAATAATAATAGAGAAAGGTCAATTCTAAGAGCCAAAGAAAGATTCATTTTTTTGTTTTTTCCTAGTTTAGTCTTGTTTTGTCCCAGTTACTTAGGTTGACTGTCATGAATAATAGCTTAGCCCTAATGACTTCCCTCTCTCTTAACCACTCAAAGGAAGATAGTACTCAACAAATCCTGGCTGGGATGATATGTATTAAGCCTGTGTATATATATATTAAAAACAAAACAAACAAACAAACAAAAAACCCTTGCCCTTATAAGATAGAAAGGCCCAAGGGTTAATGTCTTAAATCAACTCCGTTGTTAAATGCTGTCGAGTCAGTTCCCAAACATAGCAACCCTATATAGGGTTTCCAAGGAGCAGCTGGTGGGTTTAAACCATCAACCTTGCGGTTCAAGCTGCACTTGCGGTCCAGTATATTATCCTGCAGCACCATACCGGGACTCCTCCAAAATTAATTCTACTGTGACTTAATTTTTTTTTTTAAAAAAGACACCTAATTGTATTCCTGATTTACCACCATCTCTGCTGACCTTATTAAGCTTAATAAAAATAGGTCTGAGAGTCTCCTGTTTAAGAAATAAGTTTAGCAACCTGGTACATTTGTTGTTGCTACACAACCATACAGGACAGAGCAGAACTGCTCCATTGGGTTTCCTAGGCTAAAATCTCTATGGGAGCAGGTTGGGTCCTCACTCCAACTGGCTGATGGGTTTGACCCGCCAACCTTTTCAATTAACAGCCAACCTCTTAATGAGTGAATCACTAGGGCTCTTTCTGAAACACTTGAAGAAAGTTCATTATCAAAAGACCTGTGTTCAAATCTCTTGCCTAGCCAAGCAACTCAGACACAGAATTACTGACTTCATAATGCTGATTTCCTTTAACCTGCAAGCCGAATTCACTTCAAGGCACCTGCCAGAAGATGTTGCTGACATTGTTGTTGTTGTTAGGTGCCATCGAGTCAGTTTCAAATCATAGCAACTCTATTGACAGCAGAACAAAACACTGCCAGGTCCTGCCCATCCTCACAATCTCACAATGGTTGTTATGTCTGAGCCCACTGCTGCAGCTGCTGCGTTAATCCATCTTGTTGAGGGTCTTCCTCTTTTGTGTTGAACCTCCACCGAGTATGAGGTCATTCTCCAGGGACGGATCCCTCCTGATAACATGACCAAAGTACATGAGAAGTCTCGCCAAACTTTATCTTTGAGACAGAGGGAAAAAAAGAGAAGAGGTTAAAACGTCGTATTTCTTAACGTTTGAAACTTTTAACACAAGAATACAGATTTTGAATGTTACAAATCAAAACCTACCATGAACACAAAGAAAAGAGCAAATATCTGGCAAAGAGAAAAAGACACACTTTAAAATTAACGTGGTAATGGGCTAGTTAACTTCATCTAAGCAAACAGGGAAAGTGATTTTGTTTCTTCTTTTTTGTACTCAAATTATCCCGAAAATTACTTCTGCCAAGAACGAGTCCAAGAAAAAAATTGGCAATTATTTTTTCTTAATCAAATACTAAATTCACACATTTCTGGCTCTAATTGGATTCCACTTTGTGACAGTTCGTTGCAGAAGAACCCTGGTGGTCCAGTGCTTAAAACACTTGGCTTTAACAAAAGGGTCAGCAGGTTCGAACCACTAGCTGCTCTGGGGAAGTAAGATATGGCAGTCTGCTTCTGTAAAGATTTACAGCTCTGGAACCCTATGGAGGCATTTCCTTATTCACTATTTATGATACACATAGGTTAAACGATCTACATAAAATCTATCATTACCTGTGAGGACTCAATAAATAAGTTTAAGTAAAACGTCTGTACATTTAGCAGCGTTACTGGTATGTGGGTTGGGCACAGCGCTCCTCCTCCCCTTTCCCCCAAGTAATTCATGAACCTGATCCAGGTTTTAAAGAAAGGGAGAGGAATAAATATCCTGAAGGTCATTTTCATCTTTTAAAGACTTAAAAAAGAAAAACCTTAAATCTACGAGGACCTAAGATAAACAGTTGTTCCCTCTATCTTTTGTTTTAAGTGTATGAGCACTATTTTGGCAAGATGCTTTCAAACATTGACTTTAAACTGCTAAACAATCCCAGCCTTATCCAACACAGGTTTAAAGACATGTTGCCCGCTGAAATTGATGCACTTACAGATTTGTGGAAACTGTTAAAAGTGTTAGGCACAACAAATCCCGAGAAAAATGTAAACTGTACAACGTATAAGTATGTATGAAAGGGTTTCAGAAAGTTTGTCGAAAAGCTCCATTCTCGTTTCATTTCATTTTCCCTAAGCTTTTTGCTCAAAGCCCCTTGATTTGTGCCCTCCTCCCCTCACCCCAGCATAAGCACTGTAATATATCACTCCAAATTAAATGTGTTGGTCTTTCAGTGGGGAAGTGTTCAAAAGTTTAACTTGCTGAGCTAAACCATAAACCCCTAAAAAAAATTTTAAGTGGATGTAGGGTAGATAAAACTACATTATAACAACTCCAGATCTCAATTAACAGAGCATTCTTCCATCATACAATCAACAATGCCAAATTTCAATCAAGGTCACAAAAATAAACCCTTTGCCTGCAATTATGTGCAGTTCTAGAAAATTCTTACCATACTTTTCAGAATACCTTCCCCTCGATTAAAGTCTAGAATCCTTTATACCTTTTGTCCCCTCAAAAAGCATGTGTAACTAGATCTTACATGAATAGACCTGTCTATATAAAAGTTGCTAAACACTATTACTTGTACTTCTTCAGCTCTGTATAGATAGTCTAATTTGGGAGGCCACACAGGACTAGAAAGCACCTTAATCTGAGAGGCACAATGCAAATGGGCCTGAACCATAGTTCTTTAAGACAGGAAAATGTTGGAGACAAAGGGAGTTAATTTCCACAAGAAAGTAAAAACAGGACAAAGCCCCTACTAACAGCCCAGATCCTCAGCACAATGCATGATCTAATCACATGGATAGCACCTGCCTTCACACACACAGTCCTCCCTTCTTCAGTCCTAAGCAGGCAAAGGAACAAATCTCGGAGGAAAAAGTGGAAAGGGGTGAGAAGAGGGGACTGGGTTTCCATGATCATAGCACTTCATTGCTACTCAGAGACGCCAGTTCCTTTCTGGAGACGTCATGCACATGCAAAATCACAATTATTGAAAAGCAACAATAATTGCAAGAAGCCATATGAGAAACATAACATTTTAATAGATGAAATAAATACTCCAGTACATGCAAGGTAAAAACTTGACATTGGGGGGAGGAGGGGAAGAATCACTCTATAGTGTAAATTAAAAAAAATAAAACACACACTCACAGTAGCTTTTACCCCCATTTGCAAATCACATGGCAAAGGCATACTCTTTCCACACCAAGTATACTCCTAGTCCAACACGACTGCTTAAAAACATACAAAAAAGGTAGCTACATCCAAGTCTAAGGAGTGAAAACTGAGGTAATTTTTTTTCTTAATTAAAAAAAAAAAAAAAATCAAAAAAGAAATGAACCCATGACCTTCTTCCTGCCCAATTAATAAAATTTGGTTGTGAAATTCTGGAAGATGGACTGGGGTGGGGGTGAGAGTGGGGTAAGTATTACTCGTCTTCTATCTCCCAGTCCCCACTGTGTATAGGCTGGTGGGCACCTGAGCCCTCTTAGTGCGTGTAAGTTTTGTGCAAGGCCCATTTAGGAAGGGGCGCGGGGAGTGGATTTCACCTATGATTTCTTTGGTATAAATGGAAAGGGGCAGACAATCAGTATCTTCCTTTAGTCTGGGATGGAAGAAGGGGCATGGGAGGGGGGGTGGCGGTGCTAATTCACAGAATTGGAATTCACTGGCGGTAAAGTCCTGGGCGAAGACCTCTCCCTTAAAGCCTGAGATAGCAGGGTGCAGCCTTCAGACACGGCGCAGGCCGAGTTCCTCAGCCTCTCCCTGTGGTCCGACATCTTGGCGCCCCCATCGGGGTGCTGCGCTAGATCCCTGAGGCACTGGGTCAGGAGCACGCAGGCGGACACCACGCTCATGGCACCGCCCAGGATGGCAGTCTGCACAGCCTTGCCCTCCGTGCTCACGGCTGCCGCCCGACCCAGGAACTGCGGCTCGGTGGCAAAGCCCACCAGGGCGCTCACAGACTGCACCAGGGGCCCACTGAAGAGCGCGCAGCGGCTGCGTGCCAACTCGCTGGGCGCTGCTTTCACCTCGCGCACGCAGGCCAGCAGCGCAGAGGCGCTGGTGCTCATGCATTTGACGCCCAGCTTGAACTGCTCGCGTGAAAAACGGTCCCGAGACTTGTCGCTGGCCAGGGCGCACGCGTCCGTCAGGAACTTGAGGTTTCGAGACAGGCCCTGTGACACCTCCAGCAACAACTGAGGTGTCATGTCAGCCAGTGGCGTGGCTCGAAGCAGCGCGCAGCCCTGTTCCACCTCGTGGCGGCAACGTGTCACACGGTAGCGGTCCACCAGGCCCGGCTGTGCGGGCTGCGCACCTGGCGTGGCCACAGCTGCCAGGTAGGCCGCGTGGGCAGAGCACTCGGTCAGCGACACAACCAGGTCGCCCAGCTCCACCAGACTGTCCCCCGCCTCTCCGAAACGTCCCATGTTGAGCTGGCTCTGCACGTCATGGGTGAGGATGGAGAGCCCCTTGGTGCGCGCGATGATGGTGTCCCGGCACTGCTCGAAGGACTCGGTGCCGGCACAGGAGGAAGCCAGGCCCTCCACGAGCACTGGACGCGCCTCGCTCGACAGCAGCAGCAGGTCGGCCACCAGCTGCATCTTGCCCTTGCAGTGGTCACAGACTGACACCAGCCTCTTCCGCGACTGCGAGCTGGTCCCGCCGACGGTGATCGCAGGAGCTGGAGAAGCCGCCTCGCCGGTGGGCTTCCCAGCGCTGCCACTAGCCATCGCGCCCGGGGGGCACTGGCATGCCGCTGGGGAGCCCGCTACCGCCACCACTGCCACTGCCGCTGCCCCCGCGGCTGTCGCGACTGTGCAGGCCAAGGCCGCGGTGCCTTCCCCGAACCATCATGCCATCCACCGCCGCGGGCGGAGGGCACTGAGCTGCGGCGGCCGGTGGCCAAGCGGCACAGGGCGGGACGGAGGGCCAGAAAACGCCAGAAGCTCTTTGGGACACGGGGCGGGGCTGCGGCGTCCAGCCTCCTAGAGGGCTTGCAGGAAGCATGAACCGGGGCAAGGCAAGCTCACAGTCCGAGCTCCTTGCCGCCAGGCTGCCAGGAAAGTCCCCTCTGCTGGGCCGCCACCTCCTTCCTGGGCATGGCCCGACCGGGCCGCCGGAGCCGAGAGGGCGGGACAGGGAAGCTGGGAGTTGTCCTTCCTTCCTTCCTTTCTTTGAAATCAAAATCCTTTCCTCCGGGAGGAGCACGGGTGGTGGCCCAGGCAGGCTCTGCTGTCAACCGCCTAGCTTGAGGCCACCTCGGCTCCGTGGCGCACGTGGGTTTCAGGCGCCCCCGTGACCGCGCAAAACGGCACTTCTCCGCGACGGCGGCCCGGGTTGGCGCTTGGGGACGCGCAGCTGCTCCGGGCGCATCTCCTGCCTCCAGCTCTGGGGAAGCGGCGCCTGCAGCGGCGGCGGCAGCAGCTGCAGGGCCGAGGGTGTGGCCGGCTCCGCCGCGCCGAGTCAGAATCGGGCGGGAGCTTGCACTGATTGCGCACAGCAGCCGCCTCGTTCACTCGCCTGCCCACCACACCCGGGCGTGCCGGGCGCCTTGGCGGTCCCTTCCCGCCTCGCACTTCACAGAGCGCGGCCCTGCGCGCAGGCGGCACGCCCTCACGGACAGCGCGCCCCGCGGCCCGCCGCTTGCTGTAAGCACGAGTCCATCCCAGTCGCCTCCTCGTCTTAGACCGGCTGCGGCTGAGCTCCCCAGAAGCCCCGAACCCTGGGAATCGGACGTCTCTGCGCGCGTCTCCCCGGCCGCCAAGCCAACTCAGAAGGTCCCCTTGGCGCTGCGGCAACCCGCCCGCGCCCCGGCTCCTGCCATTTTTGTCAACCACCAACTTCCGAGCGAGCGGAGAGAAACTGAAAGGAAGGGCGGAGGCCAAAATGAAGAGGGGAAAACACCCGCTTCCTCTTCCCGAGAGGCTTCACCTCCGAGTTGGCAGTGGGTACGCTGCCGCCCGCCCACCAGTGCAACTGGAGGCTTTTCCTCTTCTCGTCCGCTCCTCGTCCCCGAGCTCGCCGCCGCTGCCTCGGCAGTAACCTAGCTGGAGCCTATAGAAATCTTTTGTGTGGCGTCACCGCCTTTCGTTTAAATCCCGCTTCCTCCTCTCGCCCTTCCTCCCGCCCCCTCCGCCGCTCCCGGATGCTTGCGCGATGCGCTGCTCCTCCCCCGGGAAGCTGGGTGGCTGCAAGGAGGACGCCGCCGCCCAACTTGGATACCCGCTGGCCCCGACCCTCCCGGCACTGGTTCGGTGGTCCCGGGCCTCCCGGGCGATCCTTGGCGGGGTGGTGGGAGCGGTGGAGAGGCCAGCCCTGGGCCGGGGCTCTGTGCAAACCCCTAGGAGATCGGGGCGCAGTTGCCAGTTGGCCTTACGTAAGCGCTTAGCCAGGCCAGGGGGCTCCAAGCTTTCCGCGCCGCAAATAGAACAACTCTAAAGGGTGACCTGTGTTCTGGGGTGGAAGGAGGACACCCCGACACCATCCCATGGTGATCTGCTGGGGGTTCAGTAATTTCGGTTTGCGGGACATCTGCTTTTCCCAGCTCTCCTCCAGCCCTTTGTTGTATTTGATCTTCCACCTTGGGTTTCTGAGGAACTGTGCTGGGTAATGAAAAGGGCACTGGATTTAGTCTGACATTATTACCTCTTCTTCCTTGTAACTGCATGTACTTACTTTATATATGTAGGTAGAGCGTGGGTTTTGAATCAGTCTTCCTGAGGTCAGTTGTACCCCAGCCATGCATGAGTTGTGTGACCTTGTGCACGTTCTCTCTGTGTATTCTCATCTCTAAGTCTGATACTTGAGTACTTGCAGACTTGAGTACGTGAGTACCGGGTAACTACATAGTTGTTAACACTTTGAGCTTTGATCAGCACACTGTGCCCTCGCATCCCTTAAGTTTGTTTACAGACTAATAAATTTGGAGGTAAACATTATCCCCACTTTACAGATAAGGAAACTGATGCTCAGGTACCTTAAATGATTCCTGAAGGTCAGGAAGACAGCAAAAGACAGGGTGGAGAGCCCACCTTTACTCCCACCACCAATCCACCCTGTTTTTCAGGAAGTGGTTTGAACACAGTAAAGAACCCCACCTATTAGTCCTAAAATAGACCTCTGTAGTAGAAGTAGGGTGTGTACAGTCAAGTTGGGTGTGTACAGTCAACAAAAATGTTCATTCCCCTAACCACCCCCCCAGCACCCCCAGTACATCTTATTTCAAGCTAGTGGATTTCGCACTGCTAACCGCGAGCTCAACAGTCTGAATCCACCACCTGCCCGGAGGTAGAAAGATACGCTTTCTGCTCCTGTAAATATTAGAGCCTCAGAAACCCCATACAGGTCACTTTGAGAGGGGACAGACATGATGACATGCATCAGAGGCATAATTAGAATGGCCTTGTAATTCATCATTCAGACCAAAACAGATGAGAGTAAATGGTGAAGGGATATTATTGATAATGAACCAGGGACAAGTGCAAACCTGGGTGGATAGTCAGCCTACTCACAATTGAAAGTGCCCTAATTTTGTAAACCAGAGGCCTATAAAGCTGACGACTTCTAAGCAAGCAGCAATTCCACAGGATTAATGCCTTTTGTTTTTCCACAAAGAAAAAACAGATACGCTTGACTTGGTAGCCCAGGACTTAGCACCTAAGACTTTCTATACTCCAAAAACTTACTAGGAGAGGGCAGTCAAACTCTTCCCTCTGTGCCTAGTTTCCTTATGAAATTGCTCTGGATGAGAAGATTTTTCTAAAGCCTCTTGGGAGTCCTTTTCTATTCTTTCCAACTATGTAGTCTGTTTTCTTGTTACTGGAAACCTTGTACCCCAATAGGAGTTCTATTGAATAAGCTTGGTTTCTCTTTAAAAATGGATACGATGGTTTTCTTGGCTATCCCTTTCTCAGGTTTTCAGGTAGAGCAGTTCCTCCCAAACAGATATTTCTAGGTGCTATGTTCACCTTCCTGTAGGTCACCTTTACTACCTCTCCTTAATCATTTGATCCTCAAACACGGTACCAGTGTACCAGAGAAGATGACACATTCAGAAACAGGGAGTCATGATTTCACTTTTGGAATAGTAAGGATAAAATAAACTGAGAAAGTGTTGTTGTTGTTGTTGTTAGGTGTCGTTCAGTCAGTTCTGACTCATTGTGACCCGGTGCACAACAGAATAAACACTGCTTGGCCCTGTACCCTATTCACAGTCTTTACTGTGTGTGCATTGTTGTAACCACTGCATTCATTAATCCATCTTGTTGAGAGTCTTCCTCTTTTTTGCTGACCCCTCTACTTTACTAAGCATGATATCCTTCTCCCAGGGACTGGTCCCTCGCAATTATATTTCCAAAGTATGTGAGATAAAGCCTTGCCGTCTTCCTTTCTAGGAGTATCCTGGCTCCTAGAAAACAAAACAGAGTTGCTCATTCTTCTGGAAGTCGATGGTATACTTAACATTCTTTGCCAACACCATAATCCAGTCTTCCATATTCTTGTCCAGTATGCATATGTTGTTGTTATGTGCCATCTAGTCGGTTCCGACCCATAGCGACCCTGTATAGAGTTTCCGAGGGTGTAAATCTTTACGGGAGTAGAAAGCCTCATCTTTCTCCCGCGGAGCAGCTGGTAGTTTCGAACCGCTGACCTTAAGGTTCGCAGCCCGATTCGTAACCACTACGCTACCAGAGGTGATTTTAAATACCATGGCTCCCGTAAAAAGGCACCTTATACCTCAGGGTGACATGTTTACTTTCTAATACTTTAAAGAAGTCTTTTCTTGCTGATTTGCCCAATGTAATACCTTTGCTCACTAAATAGTGCAGTGGCGAGTAGGTGAGGGTCACGTGATTAGTTCTGACCAATGAAATGTAAGTGCAGTGCCGTGTGTTATTTGCGCTGTGCAACTACTGCGGAGACTGTGTGTCTAATAGATGGTGGAGCTGCCATAGCTTAGGTGACTCAGTGTAGTAGACCCTCTGTTGACCTGCGCTAGACATGTAACCCGGGAAGAACGTAAATACTTGTTATATTAAAGTCACTGAGTTCGGTTGTTTCCTCATATAACATATTTTAGTCTAACCTGATAGAGGAGGGCTGTTTATACCTGTCTCTGTGGTTACTGGAGAAAATGCCATGGCCATTGGTAAACTTGTTTTTATAGCCTCAGTGCCTGGCTCAGGGCCAACACTGAGACATTTGATAAATATTTATTGACTGAATAAGCTAGATGCAAACAGAGAAGTGATTAAGGATTTGGGCGGGAAAGGTGAAACATCCTTCACTCCCTCCCTTACCTGTTCTAGAAGGTGCACCTACCACCTGGACTTGAAGCAGGTTCAAGACAGCAATATGGACATTTTGGGTTTTGGTAACCAGCTTTCACATTGCTTCCTGGACCCAGACTCTATGGACCCACATACCAAGCTACTTTGGGCTGTGTTGATACCTGGTGGTCAGAAGGGACATTCTCTGCTCTAGTGTATTTCTCCTTTGGAGCAGGGTCCCTCTTTTATGTGTGTGCTTAGAGATGGGCCATTTGAATATCATCTTTTGACTCTCTGCACATATCCAAACATCAGCCTTCAATGTCTTCCTTTGAACACATCGTCTAAAGGGGAGCAATTTCCATCAGGAAACTATATGCTTAACTCTCCTCTCCCCTGGTTTGCTCATCCTCATAGATGGTGAGCTTGGCATTCATTGGGCATGGTTCCCTATGTCACTGCCTTTACCCAGCAGTCCCTCTTGCTCTCTGGTGTATTTTGTTCCTATACAAGATCACCTGGGCAGAACCTCACCCTTCACTCCTATCCCATCCCCATCCTCATCTTCTACCTTCCCCGTCATTTTCTGTCTCTGTTCATCTGAAGTTGGGTGTGTGAGGGAAGTATGTGTGCTGATCCCATTACATCTTGGCTAACACACTGAAATATTCGGGTCACAAGATCTGGAGATCTGGAATTGTTCTCAGTTTTACCAGAGAGCCCTAAATAGAATTAAAAGTATTTATACAAATTAATAATAATATGAGTGCCCATTTATCTATTGGCTAATAATTTTGGATGCATTTTTCATTTTCTAGACTGGTGGAGGGAGGCTAAGATTACTATGAATACTAAGCTACTCGCACCCTAAATTCCTGATAGTAATCATGCCTAACCATGTTTTTGAGATCTCTCATGGCGCCTAACACTTAATTGCCGTGAGTCACTTCCAACTCATAGGGACCCTGTATAGATAGTGTTTCCAAGGAGCAGCTGATGGCTTTGAACTGCTGACTTTGTAGTTGGCAGTCCAGTGCTGAAACTACAGTGCCACACCAGAAGTCCAAGACACAATTGCTATTGA